CCTCCATCAGCTACTCACTCATCTCCATGGTTTTAAAGTTTTAAATAATGAATGAGGTTCACAATTACATAACTTTTTCTTTTTCAGTTACGGATGGTGTTGATGATAAACAAGTGATCGAGATTGACGACAAGACATCATTGAGTTCAGATTGGACCCATACGTTCTTAAACACCGGAAACGAATGCCCATAGTATCGCTGTTTGTCTAGACGTTTCACGTGAAGGGAGCGTAGAACAATTAGACCACTTGTATTCTGCTTTCACGGTCTCTCGACCATGATGGGATAGAAAACGCAAAATTAATGTTTGAACGGGAAGAGACTGGGAACGACATCCTGTCTTGCCTTGCGTACCAGTCATACGTCGGACATGCGCTACGGATCAGTGTGAGCCAGCCGCGCGCCAAAATCCAAGCAAAATTGTCAAAACTTACAAAAAACAACCTCTGTCATTCAAAATAGGCGAAAGAAATTGAACCGTTCATATAATCTGTAAGACAAAAATAAAGTAGCGAAAAGGAAATGAGACTTTTCGAACAGAAAACTTGTTTAACTACGCGTAGCCTGTTGATTTATCCTTTTGTTTTGAGCTATATCAAAGAAGATGTATGCTTTTGTGGTTCTCTATAGCTCTATATCTTCCGTCCCAAGCTTCTCATGGCTTCGTCGCTCATTGCTTTAGCGGAAAACTAGCTCGCTACCTACACAGGTTAGGTTCTGGTGGGTGTTGTTCATTGTTCTAGTTCTAAAACCTTTCGTCATGTTAGCGCCAAGATGATCAATTGCTAGCGACTGGAATTTGTAAGTACGCGAATAAAGGGGAGGGTGCGTTCGGGAGGCGTAGAAGCGTTTTAGCAGCATTACGTCACAAAAATCTGTGTTGGATTTAAAACTTAATTTATGTCTGAAAACGCTCTGTGGTCGATGACAAGAAACACTGATAGTGAGCCAGAGAAGTGTTTTAAGTAGCGTCAAAAATCGTTCAAAATTGGTTGATCAGGCGTTCATGGAGAAAAATCAAAACATGTTATTTTGCGATAGTTTATTTGTCAGACCCTTATCCTGATAATTATCCTTGTAATTAGTTATACTCAGTCGGAACTGATTGGCAAGATGAGTCAGATTTAACATAAATGGGCTTTTTTTTCATCTTTCAATCCTCAAGTCAACTTAGGTGTTCAAAGAGTAAGTTTAATTTGTTAGAAATAGTTGTTCTTAAAAGAAAAACTCTCTTTACTAACAGGAACACGGAAGAAACTCCTGCAGAAATCTTAACAGGAAAGTCCTTCTGACAACGTTTTCGTTATACTGATTCGAATAGATGTTGTTGCAATATATCTTCAGCGTTACTTTGAGAACATGGAATTTCTATTCTGATCAGCGTAACGAAAACGTTGTTACATAGGCTCTTCTTGTCTTCAGCAGAATGCCAGTTAGTCTTGAGGCCAGGTCTCACAGCACCTCACTTGAGAACTTCCGGAAGACTGGGGGAGAGTTGCGACCAGAACTCCGCGGGAATTTCGTGTCCAGTAGACTTGGATAAAACATGGCCGAAGACGTGGCTGCTAACAAAGTATTTACGACCTTTAGAGGCGATGTGATATTCTTTTCTCTCACTAATACGGGTATCAAAGAAGAAAGCTGTATTGAAGCTCAAATCTTTGGCTTTTCTAAATCCTGCAGATCCTTCACAAGAATTGCAAAAAAAATGCTACCCCTTGGAATTTTAGGAGGCGAACTAGAAATCGTATCTGCCAAATGTTTGTTGAACTCAACAACAGGAATGTACCAGCCTTTTATTTTGCTTCACCAGAATCGAATGAAGTATTCCAGCACACAGGAATTGCATGTGTTGCTTCTAGATAACTTCTATTCGGTTATTCTGTCGGGCAGTTTTGATGTAAGTCACCTCTCACCGACACAGAACATTGAATTTTATTTTTGTGATGGCCCTACAATTTGTTGGACTTTTAAAGGGGTCATGTACTTTGCGTGCTATGATTCCATTCATGAGAAGTTTACAACTGATTCTGTGACAGTTGATCACTCAATGGATGAAAGATCAGGTGTAGAATTTAACCTCTTGTGGTGTGGGTTATTAAGAGACCAAATTGTTGCCATGGGAGCAAAATCAGAAATGAAAGATGATTCCAGCACCTTAACAAGATGGGTATGTGTCAATCATACTTGCAATGATATCCAAGAAGTCTCATTGGTTCCAAGTCTGTATGTTCCCATAGCAACATGCTGCCTTGTAAGAGAACCTTTAAATGTAGCGGAATTTGGAGGTAATTCTTCATATGATGATGTGGATGTTTATTTAGCAACAAACCGAGGACAGGTCCTAAACTTTCTCAATGGAAGGCTCAAAAGCTATTGGCAAATACCATTTAAAGACCCTTCCAGGATGTGGATTTTGGAGGTAATAAATGCAACTCTGCAGTAAATTTTTTGAACTTTGGAATAATGTTTCATCATGTAGCCTGAATTTTCAGTAAAGAGTGGTGCTGAAAAAGACTAATGGCAGTCATAGTGATGTTTTGGCAACCTCAGTGAAAGTCATCATTAGAGTTGTGGTCAGTTGAGAAAGGTTCTCTAAACCTCAGTCACTGCTACTAACAGCATGGTTAACATTTGAGCTTCACTATTGAGTGGTCTGTTAGGCATTCTGTGGCTCAGTCTGTCGTAGAGGATCACCTTCCTGACACAGATTTGCAGAAGCTGTAATGTGGGTATCAACAAAATGGATGGGAGTTTGTGATGCCTGTAACAACCTGTGATTAGAGTGAATTTCCTGCAAGTAATGTTTTACAATAAAACATAGGCAAAAAGAGTACACAATTTAAAAATTTCAAGTCTTCTCTCAAAGTTCTTACATAAACACTTTTGAAATCAGGAAGTCAAGGTTTAAAGTGCTAAGCTTACTTGCTTCTTGGCTGCGCTGTTTACATAACCCAGCTGGGTGTGCCTCTGGCATGACTCCGTTAGGGATGCAACGATGTAAGTTATAGAGGATATTAAATGGCTGCTGGGAGATACAAAATTTCTCTTTGAGTGTTGAAAAATATTTCACTTGCTCGCTCACTCACTTGTGAAATATTTTTTCAACAAGAGAAGACAAATTTTGTATCTCAAAATGGCCATGTAATATTCTATTTATTATATAAACACCAATGAAAAACCAAACCATTTCACTTTGGCTATGAAAGGCACATGCTATTTATTATATAACCATTGTAATGGTTATTCTTTTTTTCTAAATCTATCATGTTAGCCTACTGAGCCTGGGGGACACGTTGCAATTGGGTCTTTGCTCTGTTCTTCTCTCCTGTCACGTCATATTATTTTATATTTTTCTTATACTATACTATTTTATATATATAATTTCATATCTACATAATGTATACAACTTTATATATTTCTCTAAATATATTATATGCTATTTTATGTACATAATTTCTTGTAACGAATCACAACAAACTAAACTAATGGTGTTATTTTCATGTGTGAAGATAAGATGCTATTTTCACGTGTGAAGACGTCACTTTTTCTTATGAAAGCTCGCCTGGTGTTTCTTTGGTGTTTACATAATAAACTAATTTACACATAAAAAAAATTACTCATTTGTTATCATGTGGATATTATTCAATTCCAGCTTACCCCAGATGAAGTAATGGTAATCATAGCATCAAAATCAAACAGAGTTGCTCTGATTGACTGCAGAAAGAAACAGGTGAGATTTAGGTAACATTTACGTAAAATCTCGCACACTCAAATTGTAATTTATTTGTATGTAGTAGCACTGTTTGTAGGGTTAATATTGAAATATTTTTTAGTGGTGAGGGAAGTTGGTTTTTCTGTCAGTGTTAGAGGCTAAGGGGTATTAATATAATTTCAGAGCTGAACTAAGAGTTTCCAGCAATCTGATTGGTCGAGTGGTTCCTTATATGACGTTATATAAACTGCTCCGCCTGGTTTATATAAAGTGTTAAATTAAAAGTTAATAAATGTTACTAAAATGTTATGATTTTTGAAATTCCTCTGTTGTTCAGCTCTGAAATTATACTAAAACAATTATTCGCCTCAGGTTCGGTGAATATTGTCGAATAATCCCCTCGACTTCGTCTCGGGGATTATTCGATGATATTCACCAAACCTGAGGCGAATAATTGTTAATTAGAAATTCAAAGAATTTTCTGGCTACTATGCAGAATTCTGCTGCTAAATTTCATCTTCTAACATATTTGTTTCCAATTTGGCATTTTTCAAGGTTGTTATTCTTATCATTCCTAGACTTTGGTAAGGTCGATAACAGATTTATTCTACTTGATTTCCTTCTCTTCCTTGGTTGACTTGGTAAACAAAAGCAAAAAAACAAACATTAAATAAATGTTACGGCAAAGCCATGATCACTGATTATTAGCAGCATTGCAACTGCGCAATACTGAAACAATTATTATTATAGTTAATAATTGTTATTTTATTTACAGGTTTTGAAAGAGTTGGAGGAGGTTGCATGTGTTCTGACAGATGACTTCTTAGAAAATGGAAATGAGCAAGTTCTTTTGCTGCCTCCAAATCTCACCATTTCTGATTGTAAGGGTTTTCTTGTGCGTGATTATCCCTTAAACTCCCACGATCCAATCAGTAATTCTTCCCACATACTGCCATACTTACTTGTAAATGACACTTGAGAATTTGATCTTATATCAAAATAACACTCTCCAACTGATAAACTTGTCTGTTCTCATGACTTGTTTATAAGATTTCTGATTGGAGCTGCAGGGAGAAATTGCATGTTAATCTCTTCACCATACAGAGAGGGCTGGGTTCTCACCCCAGTCTGGTCACTGTGTTGTGGTTTTGGGCTAGATACTGAAGCCCTTGCAGAGCCCATGAATATATATGCGCCATTTTGATCTTTCATGAAAACCTCTTGAAACTGATGAGATGTACCTCTTTCTAGCCAGGATTATAAATGGGCCTTTGGTACCAGCCAGTTATCAGACAAAATTGACAAATTGCAGGGAGGGAGGGGTAGGTGCTGGTGGTGGTTTACTAACTATTAAAAAAAAGCCCCGGTCACTAGAAGGGTTGATAGTGCCATCCACAGGATAAATCTCTATCTGGTGGATAGAGCCTTATGATTTGTAAACACTTTTCAGCTGGATAGCATTTTTTCAATTGGATAGCATTGTCTGCCCTTTGAACAACTCGCCTAAGCTTCTCATCCAAGTTTTTTTTAATCTCTGTTGCTATATGTACCTCACAATTCCTTGACTTTCTGAAGAAGATAATGATGAAGCTTTCCCTTTTTTGTGACAGCTGGAGAGTTTTCCAAGTTTTATTTGTTAGATGTTGCAAAAGGAATGGTGGCCATTGAAAACAACCAGGTAATTAGTTTGGAGAAGAGAGCAATTTGATTGTGTGGCAAAGCCATGAATTGTTTTAGATTTGATGTCTTCTCAACAACTTCATTATACAATTATATTGAACTGAGTTCCATTATGTTTGTGTTTCAAAACAATACAAAGTCTTACCAGAGCTCTTTTATTATTTTGCTGTGTTTTGTTATCTAACTGAGATAACAAATAACTTTGTATAATTGGGTAGAATGCTGTGTCATTCATACTGGTCATCAGGTAGTTAGCATATATTATATGTTCTTTGCAGGATTCTTTTTCTGCCCAGTCACAAACAGTAACAGACTCACTTCAGAAAACAGCAAGTGCACTGAGGACAACTTTACAGGTTAGGTTACATGTGCCACACACAAATGTATTTCTTCTCCTTGTTTGGTTTCCATTTGTTACGAGCTTCCCCACCCTTCCTTGACACGTTCTTTTTTCCTTGAAGACTCATCCTTTTTCCAGCATCTCCTTGTTCTTTTTTCTCTCTCCTTCACAGTCATTTCACTTGGTAGTTATCCCTAACCAAATTTTTCATTCTGTCACTTTTTTGTTCTGTTTCTATTGGGTTGTGCTTTTCACCTTTTTTTTCTCCATTTCTCCTCATCCCCCACTTTCATTTCATGTGCCTTCTTGTGCTTTTCATTCTCTTTTTTCTCACTTTTTTTCCTCCTCTCTATTCCTTGTTCTACTCCTTCTCTAAATTGTTGAAGTGAAGTTTACATTTGATTGGGCTTTCAAAACAATTTCTTTGGTAGGCAAGGGAATCTAATCTGCGTGAGGCTAAAATGGAATATCATGAAAAACTAAAGATGGTGGAGCACTGTTGTAAAGTACTGAAAGACATAACTTGTTCTTCGGGAGCATGCAAAGAAGAAAAAAGGAAAAAGGTATGACTCTCAAATTAAAATTTTAGAGTTGAGTGGTGGGAATGAATAAAAAACACTCTACTAATAAAAGGAGGTTCTGAATCAACAAAGGTTGACTAATTTAAACCTAGCAACTGGTCTGAACCTGCTCACAACACCCTAAGGATAAAGATGATTCCATTTCCACCAGCCATTTTCTTAAAATTATATCAATGGGGTTTACATAATTGGCTTTTTTAGATCATCTGAGAGGTTACATCATCACTGTAGTAACTACTCTGTTGAAAACGAATGATGATACAGTTTAACCGCAATTATCTGGACTTGTTTGATCTAAACAAAATGGTCTTGAAAATCGAGAATATGAATATTAATAAGGAACAAAAACTGAGTGGGAATTAACAATTAAAATTAATGAAACATGTTTTTACATTGGCCTTAAATGTTGAAGTAAGGGAGTTTGTCTTAAAAAAGAATATTGCTTGTGCATTGAGAGTTCCATCATTCTTCAAAGCTGCATAATCTGAATAGTGTCAACATGGTTTTTAGTTGCGATGCATGTGAGTGCTGCTTTTGCTTTTTGAAAATGAAGCAAACTTGCCTTTACTTCACTTTTCAATGCTGTAGTTTTAAAAATAATATGACTACCGATCTTGATCATGACAAATAAATATTCATGACAAAATTGGGACCAGAGAAAAAGTCCGGATAGTCGAGAAATCCAGATAATCAAGATCTGGATAATTGAGGTTTGACTGTTATAGTAATGACAATAATGATGATTATAGTAATAGTTATAACAATGACAATTACAGTCAAACTTGTATTAAGCGGTTACCCAAAGGAATCTGGGGCGGATCCAGGATTTAGTCAAGGGGGGTTCGGAGAATTGTTCCCCTTCTGAAGGGTCTGAGATTTTGGAATTATGCCYYCCGGAAACATRWTTYC